TATATATAATATATAATATAACATAATATAATATAGTATATATAATATATAAATTTCATTATAAGATTTTATACCGAGCTAATATACGTAAATGAATGGCATTACTCACAATTCGTTGGAACAAGATTTGGGTTTCTCCATTCGATATCCGACTTTCAACAAATGGAAGAGACGTTCGGGAAGGATACCCGGATAAGGAGATGCTCCTAAATCGGAAATGAACTATTAAAGGATATTCCAACTAAAATCCGCGTTAACCGTACTCTACGTTGTACTTACCTAGAGTAACGATTTCCCACAGCACCACACCGAATGCCCACCTACACGAATGGAAAAAAATTTTACTTTTCAATGAGCGAGAGTGTATCGAATGCGAAAAGTAACCTACACGTCGCTCCTCGTAGTGTAAATGTGATCTTCTAGAGACTCGATGGCCATCCACTTCACCGGAACCGGACCCTAAAAGCGTTCGATAAAATAAGTTTGTTTTTCAAATCGCTAATTTATCAAACATTTCAAAAATGTTAAAGTATAATGATGGAAACGTTTGAAAAAACCAGATAAATATAAAGATAATTCGATTCGTAATTTACAGTTACAAATATCGAGAGTGGCGAAAATAAAAATTAAATTAAATTTTTAATAAAAAGTAATAAAAAGTCACGGTGGAAAACCCGAATCGATGTTTCGAAATAATACAAGCCAGGTCTATAAACGTAAGGTGGGGACATCGATGTTCCCTACGGAGCGGCCATTTTGGATCCGCAGTTCCGAGGTCCCGATACAAATTTCACGCTATCTACGCGCTGTAAACTGCCCGTTTCTTCGAGTTAAAGCCACGGAATTCCTTTCATAATATCAAATAGACTCTCTTTTCATTTAGAGGTTACTCCGGTATATAATTAAAGGCTTCAAATAGGTTTCAAAATAGAAAACTGTGTATAATAAAGTAAGAAGATAAATTTATTTAGTTTCGAATTGCAAAATTAGAGAAATTTGGAGATATTTGTTAAAATAAGAATATGTTCAGTTTTCTATATTCACCAGCATTTTTACATTACACAAACTACAAACGGGAGCTGAGAGCAAACGTTTTTATAAATTAAAATTAGATGAAGAGAAAAGAAAACCTATTCTCGCAAACTTTACATATTACGTAAAGTAAACCTTCAAAAGTTTTTGCGAGTTAATAATTTCCTTCATTTAGGAACTTTCTTACGCGTATAAACTAAACTTAATCATTTTTATAGAGAATTAAATGATTATATTTATCAAAATTTATTAAACAGTAGACAATGCCAACAGAAATATCAACTTCAACTTTATTTATTGTTTATTTTATAATAAAAAGTGATTATTATTTCAATTGCACATTACACATTACTCTCAATTAATATGAAATATTAATTTAAATGAGTGAAAATTTTAATTTCAATTACTATATTTTATTTTCAATTTTAAAGTGTGTTTCAGTCAACAAATAACAACATTTATTCTGTTTAATAAGTTACATAATATTGTTATACGCGTACAGCTTGTCAGAAAACTTTACCACAAACAGTCTATAAACTAGTATTGATCTGAGAAGCATGTTTTAATGTAATTTAAACAGATTTAATGATGAATACTGCAAACATTTTATAATAAGTGTTAAATAGTAAAGCAGTTTATATACTGGATTTTTGCTTTCATCTAACAACATAAAATATTTAAAAGAAATCTCTATTAGTAACCCGATACTGTACTTTTCCATTCTCATTAAAACTTCAGAAAATGCAACACGTTCACACCGAATGACAGTACAGGCAGCAAATAGCATTATTTGTATCAAAATATGAATTTATATAAAAGCAATAATAATTACAAAATATGCACTAAATTTCGGTCGAACTTTTCTTACTGAATACATTCGAGCAATCTCGTATGGCCGTTGTTCCCGATAAAGGAAAACATCGACTAGGAAAGGAAAATAATTTTCTGTAGTCTTCTAGGCGAGTAATCATTTATTATACGTAATCTTACAAATCTCACGTGGCATATAATAATTTAATTAATATAAATAAGATGTTTTTGAAAAATAAATGATTAGTGAATATTTGTTATGATAATATCGTATAATTTTTGCGATAAATATATTTTTTAAATCTGAAAAAGCAATGTTTAATATCCTAAAAACATTTGTTGAACCAAAGTTGCACTTATTTGGAGGTAATTCTCTTTCTCTCGGTGTTTTTCTTCTTAATTGCGGACGGGGTGGAAGATTTTGAACATCAAAACGGGTCTGAATTGCATTCCATTTCAATAATTTTCTTTCATCCGCTCTTTTAAGTTGAAATTGCGGCTGCTTTCAATGTTATGTAACTAAATTTTTAGATGCTAAAATGCATCTAAAAATTTAGTTACATTACATTACAAAAGTTATTTTAAACACTTGGTAAATTTATATTTTCATCATTATTTTATCCAGTAGCCTCACACAATCGAATTCTCAGTTGGTTTCCATTTATCTCTTCCGCAATATCGATATCATTTAGCTCTCCCGAATTTGTTGGCGGGAAAACGAAACAATCTTATATTTTCGGCTGTCGAATTTTTACAGTTCGGTGCCTAACTTCAAATCATTTTATACTATACTAGCTGTTACCCGCAACTTCGTCCGCGGAGGTTTTGCAAGTAAACCCCATTTACATTCAATATTTCAATAACCGTAGTAATTGTTATGTCTATATAACACCTACCGCTGAAGAGAATTGCCGAGAATCAAACGAACTATCTTCAATTTGATCAATTTTCTGGAGCGTTTACAATCGTTCTATAATCGAACCAATATGCAATAACAAATTCGAATTTAAAACGGTTCGAACATTTTTAAAATCGAAATAGATAAAAATATTTATAACAATGTCTGAAATGTTATCAATTTAATACACCTAAGCACTCAATAAAGACTAAATGTAGTTGAAAAGAAAAAATCGTATCTAAAATAGTACAGTAGAAGCCGTTTTCCGGTTAAGCCTTAATGCTCTACCTCTCCCCCCGCGGGGGAATTTCGAAAAATCCTTTCTTAGTGTGCGTTTCCATGACGTACCCTAACTGTCTACCAAATTTCACCTCTCTAGGTTAAGCGGTTTGCTCTGGGCGATGATGAATCAGTCAGTGAGTGAATCAGTCAGTCAGGACAAGCAATTTTATATATTTAGATATANCATCAACTAGGAAAGGAAAATAATTTTCTGTAGTCTTCTAGGCGAGTAATCATTTATTATACGTAATCTTACAAATCTCACGTGGCATATAATAATTTAATTAATATAAATAAGATGTTTTTGAAAAATAAATGATTAGTGAATATTTGTTATGGTAATATCGTATAATTTTTGCGATAAATATATTTTTTAAATCTGAAAAAGCAATGTTTAATATCCTAAAAACATTTGTTGAACCAAAGTTGCACTTATTTGGAGGCAATTCTCTTTCTCTCGGTGTTTTTCTTCTTAATTGCGGACGGGCTGGAAGATTTGGAAGATCAAAACGGGTCGGAATTGCATTCCATTTCAATAATTTTCTTCCATCCGCTCTTTTAAGTTGAAATTGCAGCTGCTTAAAATGCATCTAAAAATTTAGTTACATTACATTACCAAAGTTATTTTAAACACTTGGTAAATTTATATTTTCAACATTATTTTATCCAGTAACCTCGCACAACCGAATTCTCAGTTGGTTTCCATTTATCTCTTCCGCAATATCGATATCATTTAGCTCTCCCGAATTTGTCAGCGGTAAAACGAAACAATCTTATACCTTTGGCTGTCGAATTTTTACAGTTCGGTGCCTAACTTCAAATCATTTTATAATATATATATATAAAACAAGAAATCCAACTAATCGAGATCGAAAGGAACAATCAGCTTCGCTCCAAAAACACCGTACACACAACCCGAAAAGGATCCAACGTGGCGACTGCCGCCACGCATCACGGTATCGTGTCTAGACCTTACGTTTATATACCTCGATTCTAGCGTAGAGGCGCCTCTGGTGGCAAACACGCGAAACTTACGCGAATGGCGAAAAATTCTAGTAAGTGGCAGCCACTGTAGTGGCAACCAACGAAAAGTATCCAGTCATTTTAGCGGTTTTAAAGATGGGATTTGGACAAATAGGAATCCGAATAATCTATTAGTTCATTACTTATTAACTGACGTCAAATGCGCGTAATATTAACGCCGGTAAACAAAAAAACACAAAAATTTAAATAAGTGGAAAATCGACTGCGCACGTTTACCGTANCGAATTTTATCCGTTGCGCTTTGTGTTGTGTTTGAAATCTTCGCGCTATTTGTACTACTAATTTATTCGTTTCACTTTCCATCATTCGCCACTCTTCCTTTACTTATAACTCCGAGCGGGATGACGCGTACACTCTCTCTTTTATTTATCTATTTATTATTTATTTCCCGAGAATTACATTTTATCGGTTTGTGTCTATTTTCATACATTAAATGTACAACTTCCTTTACTTTCTCGCTTAGGTCAACGAATTTGATTCGAACTTTCTACGCGGATTTGAAGATTCCGAAAATTGTATTCAGATAATTAGCTTCGTCTTTCCGGAAATACGTCGATTTTTCCACCCGGGCTAATATTTACGCGTAGAACTTATAGGTCACCGGGGTATAAGACCTCCGACGTAACTAAATCGCGACGTAATCGACGGATGCCGCGTCAAACCGGATATTCGTAATAATTAAAACGGGTCTTCGTCTTCGGTGATACGTAATCCCGCATAAGGTATCTCGAAAGGGAAACACGCGCTACGTCCGTAATAAATGTCGCGCGATGAACCTTCGAGCCACGAACTCTAAAGCCGTAAAATTTCGTGTTACTCCTCGATAAGGAAGGGGTACGGTAATCCTTATCGTGGAATAACACTTTCTTATTATTAATTTTGTCAAACTTAATTACCATATTACAGAAAATTACAATTTAGAAAAATCTTATAAATAATTTTATCGGGCGCCTTACGGAAACGTCTAAAAATTAACTGATTTATTTACCTAAAACGAAATGATTTCCTCTCGTTTCGTTCCAACAGATGGCAGCATACAAATTACAAAATATTTCAGAAAAAAAGACACTTTTATCGGCATTGTTGCCGGAACATTTCGTTTTCCCAAATTCGGTTTGTTTCTTACAAATTTCTTGTAAGACGACCTCGGACTTATCTTCGTAGAAATAACTCTTTTCTGTTTCTAAAACTAAGACTTTTTTGTGACTTCGTCCCGGTAATGGAGTGGACGGTGACGAAAGAGTACGATAGATCCCACTCTTACCACCTAATTAGAAAACCTTCGTTAAGCCAGTCGTCGTATTTAATATACTGTAATGCATCGAACGGGTCGAACTTAAACGCGATGACGAACAAGAAATGCGGCAGTTAAGTAGGACATTTAATACAGCCGTAACAGATTTATAGCAGTCGTAAAAGAGGGAGTATAATTGTAAACCAAAGCCTACTGCGATGGAAAATTAAAGAGGACATTGTAAAAGTTTAAATTTCCTAGGTAACACCACTGACGTTTCGCTGGAAATAAAAGATTGTTCTTATATATTGTTAAAATATTGTATTGTAAAATACTGCCATTCCGTACAGTTTAATTACTAAAGATCTGCGCGAGTCCTTAAATAAAAAAAGTTACACAAAAAACGATAGGACGAAATACAGTATTTTCTACACGAACTTTCAAGAATTTTTCTCGAGTATCTTCGATTATTTCGTCTGGACTGTCGAGTTTGATGGATAAAAATTGAAGGATTTTTTGTTATTGTTTTAGTGGATAAAACAATTTTTTACGATGGAAGAGACAAATTTAAAAATTAAAAATTTTCATTTATTATTCAACACAACTTGAAAATATTTACATCAATAATAATAGAATTTTTAAACGTGATTTACATGGAAGCGTCTTAATTACTCAACGGTTCGATACGTTATTAAGGCCCTCTATATTATATTTTATTAAAATTCGGCAGTGAAGTCTTTAAACTGATATAAAAATATTATTCTTATAACAATTTTATGCATTTCTCTACTCTAGAAATTTAGTTTTTGTTAAAGGTTAAATTTTTCGAAATTTTTGGCTTGGACCATTCTCTCGGGAGGAAAATTCGTAGAAGAAAACGAAAATACGAATTTTTTTAAAAGATAATATTGGTCGTAAAAAATGAACAGATACAAAAATATAAATAGAAGTTATAAAATCGATAAAAATATTTGAAACTTGAATTCGATACCCGTCGGATCCTCCGGGGATTTTCGTCTTAAAAAGTTAATCTCGAAAAGATTCTTCGTTGGGAATTCGTAAAAAATTCATATCACGGCTTCCACGAAATCTCTGCTTTCGTCGCTTCCGTTAAAACTGAAGATGCAGTTTGTATAATTTAGTTCTTCTCCTCTCTTCGGACTCGGATACTGACGAAGCTTGATTTCTCCGTACGTCTCCTCTGCATCCCCACAAAAAACAATGGTTTACGTATTACGAACTTCCGACGACGGATGCAAAATTCTATTTTTTATACAAAAATTTCAAACAATATTCATTTTTCACTTGCCTTTTTCTTCGTCTCTATAGCTGGAGCGAGAAGAGTAAGAAAATACGGCCGATGGTTCCTGAGTAAAATCCACGTAAGACTACGAAAAATGAGACAGAATTAAAATAAATTAATGTGGGAATTTTTTAAGTTTCCAACTTACCGCGGTGTCCTGCAACATTCGATCGAATTTTTGAACTAAATCTTTAAAAGACGGTCTCTGATGCGGACTCTCTCTCCAACAAGATCTCATTATCCTGTATCTAAAAATCAAAAAACTCTTTTTAAAAGATCTTTCGCTGTTTCTTTATGAAAAATAATATTCATCGTTCCTCTTCCAGATCGAAACCTTGACTTTTAGGACCGAATTTTAAGAACTAATATTAAAATTTCCAAGTTTCCTCTCAAAATATTGAATGAAATATCGAGAAAGAACGTGAAAACTATCGAGATATTACTAATAAATTATTAACAAATAGCGATTTTCGAGCAAACTGAACAAAATTACATGCAGATAAACATGTTTGTTTATACATAATGTATGACCAGGACACGCTCTTTTTGAAATTCTCTATTAAAAAATTTATAAATTTTCTTACGTAATATCTACTTTTCGCTCAATAGAAAATAATTGGAACTTTCTAAAGTATTTCGAGAATAATTAGAGCGAATGAATGCAAATTATGAATAACGATAATTAGTTTTTGATATTTAATTAGGGGTTTAATTTAAACTCGTGATTAAATATCAAAAATATATATAAAAATGCTCGTAGACGTACAGTACCGGGGTGCCGAAGCGGCCGGATGGCAGTCTACCGCTCTGGGGGACTCGGGCTCGAATCCAAACGGGTCGAAAAATCCCCAGGAATTTTTCGGGGGGTGGTCCGTTCGGATATGTTGGGTCCCGTCCCTCACCACCCGCAGCGGGGCTGCCGCGTGGTGAGGGACGTTCAATTTTAGCTGTGGTTCTTAGTAAAACAGAGGATGGCTTTTATAAACTTGATACTAAAACAGGTATTTTAAAACAATTGTATGCAAAATCTGAATTCAGTGTTTGCAAAGAGAGATTTTTAACGAAAGAAGATGGATGTCCCTGCTGTAGAAATATCTTTACGTCAAACAGCAATAAAACAATCCCTTGGTACTGGGCAGGGTTTCAGAAAATGTGACTGCAAATCTAAATGTACCACAAATAGGCGTGCTCGTCGCAAAAACCAATTGCTACGTAATTCAAAGTGTCACCAATCTTTAGATTGCACTAATAAGTAAGTACAATTTTATCATATGTTTTGTAAAAAATTAATTTCCCTAATTGTGGTAATATTTTAAATCGTTTGATTTTTGTATTAAAGTTTTTTAATTGATTGATGATTGATTCAATCAACTAATTTGTTGATTGTATTAACTTGATTCTTTAGATATTGAAAATTAAATAAAGAACATTATGTTAATTTAAGCGTACAGAAACGTTGCTGTTGTTCCAGCAAAAATCTTATTTTCACTTTACCGCGTGCCTAGTAGGTAATGTACAGATTACCTAGATAATCTGCACATTACCTAGGTAATTTGAGAAATGGAATAATTTTAGCAACTTTAACGGATCACCCTAGTTAATGTGCAGATTAGCTAGGTGATGCGCACATTAACGGATTTCGAGCTTTAGCGGTAACATATATATATCAATTTAGATTACAATAGTTATAGAGGGAGGAGGATTATGTACTGTACAGTGTATAAAATGCTCGGAATTGTCGCAGCTTATCGGGCTTGGCGGTCTTTAGATCTTCGTAAGAACTGTCACACGAAACTTTCGCGAGAATCTTCACGCGTAACGTCGGACGTATTCGTGAAATACGATCCACGCGACGACCACCGATACGCGGATGGGTATTATACGTAATATTTTTTCACAATCTAAATATAGGCCTATTTTTACATCTATATTTAATAGAGAGTCGAGTGCAAATAGGCGCGACTTTTGCATTTAATTTTGTAATTTCGTTATTTATTATTTTTACGATAATATATTTATTTTTATTTTTTATTTCTCAAAAGACACTGCGGCCAGGTCGGCCTTTTACAAGCGTCTTACAGCAAAAATCAACAAAACCAACAAAAAAAAAGAAAAACAAAAAACAGGACGCGAGCCGAGAAAGAAAATGAATTAAGAACAAATATCACTGCGTTTTAAGTTTTTTTCCGCTTTTTTTTACATTTTTTTCTGAAGATTTCATAACCCAATATGATACGCAAATCGTTGCGCAGAATATTCCGATAGAAGATTAATCGAAAGATCGGTGCGGATCTCCCCACCTCTAGTTTAACAATTGGAAGACTATATCCACGATTTATACGAGTATCTGGCGTCGATACGCGACATTCTCCTGTACCGATTCCGAGGAAGCCGTTTTCTTTTTTTTCCCTTTATGTATTTGAAATCCGCCAATAGAATCTGTTTCTCGTAAATTTCACTAATCTCGTCAATATTATCGCGCGGTAGAGTTCGGATATCGATTCCGTAAAGTTTAAATTATAAATCGAAGCCGCGTAACGATTTCGCGCCGTCCGAAGTTTATTAACGGCGTATAGAGACACCGTATCTTATTCTAGATTCGACGCGGGCGTGGTACGGCCGTTTCGACGGCGACGTACTTAAAAAAGCTGGAATTTTCTTATTTATCCCGGTATACTTTGCCGGGGAAAGGGCGACGTCGTCTATACGTTTATTCCGGCGCGGATCGTCGTCGAAAGTTATTCCCGNAGTTTAACAATTGGAAGACTATATCCACGATTTATACGAGTATCTGGCGTCGATCCGCGACATTCTCCTGTACCGATTCCGAGGAAGCCGTTTTCTTTTTTTCCCTTTATGTATTTGAAATCCGCCAATAGAATCTGTTTCTCGTAAATTTCACTAATCTCGTCAATATTATCGCGCGGTAGAGTCGGATATCGATTCCGTAAAGTTTAAATTATAAATCGAAGCCGCGTAACGATTTCGCGCCGTCCGAAGTTTATTAACGGCGTATAGAGAGACACCGTATCTTATTCTAGATTCGACGCGGGCGTGGTACGGCCGTTTCGACGGCGACGTACTTGAAAAAGCTGGAATTTTCTTATTTATCCCGGTATACTTTGCCGGGGAAAGGGCGACGTCGTCTATACGTTTATTCCGGCGCGGATCGTCGTCGAAAGTTATTCCCGAAAACTTAATAGCGTTTTCTTTTTCTACGTTATAATCGGTTGTTTCGATTTTTAGGCGATGCGGATCGATTATTTTATTCCTATTCGCCAAGCGGAGGAGTTTAGTTTTATTTTTGTTAATTACCAATCCGTTGTTTTCCGTACAACTATTTAAAATTTTTAAAATGTGATTTAAATTGTCCCGAAGAATTATAACGTTCGTACGAGAATGAGTTATCCCTACATCGTCGGCGTACGTCGGTATATTCTCTTTCGGTATATAGTTAAACGAATCGTTAATATATATGTTGAAAAGCGGTGGACCCGAGATCCAACCTCGAGGAACGCCCTTATTTGGCTGGAAAGAGCTAGAGATAATCCGTCCAATTTTAACGTTCGACGAGTAGGATTTTAACCCGCTTAGAGGAGCCCCTCTTAGACCGACGGTTGGCAATTTTTGATACAAAAGTTGGCGATTTAAGCTATGGAATGCCTTCGAAAGGTCCGCGAAAACCGATATGGCTATTTTTGACGCGCGCTATCGTCTGTTAGACCCAAGTCTATCCAAGAGCGAGTATTTTTTTCCGTACGTTAGTCGGTTGATTCCAATCGGCCGGAATTGTTAAATTTTCGGCAAAGCCAAGATTCGCCAGTTCGGAGGTGTCGGAGGAGTTATTTTTAAGTAAATCGATGTTAAAATCACCGATTATTTATAATTTATATTCTCCGTATTTGGTTGATTTGTGTAATATTTCGTTTATAACATCCGGGAAAATTCCGTAGTTTGTAGATGGGCGACGGTAGACTATTACCAGCATCAAATTGCCTACGACTATCGTAATTACATCTATATAATTCCTTGTAAAAGTTAGATCTGAAACAACTTCGTAATGTTTATCATTACGTATATATATTATATATAATATAATATATAAATTTCATTATAAGATTTTATACCGAGCTAATATACGTAAATGAATGGCATTACTCACAATTCGTTGGAACAAGATTTGGGTTTCTCCATTCGATATCCGACTTTCAACAAATGGAAGAGACGTTCGGGAAGGATACCCGGATAAGGAGATGCTCCTAAATCGAAAATGGATTATTAAAGGATGTTCCGACGAAAATCCGCGTTAACCGTACTCTACGTTGTACTTACCTAGAGTAACGATTTCCCACAGCACCACACCGAATGCCCACCTACACGAATGGAAGAAAATTTTAGTTTTCAAGGAGCGAGAGTGTATCGAATGCGAATAGTAACCTACACGTCGCTCCTCGTAGTGTAAATGTGATCTTCTAGAGACTCGATGGCCATCCACTTCACCGGAACCGGACCCTAAAAGCGTTCGATAAAATAACAAGTTTGCTAATTTATCAAACATTTCAAAAATGTTAAAGTATAATGATGGAAACGTTTGAAAAAACCAGATAAATATAAAGATAATTCGATTCGTAATTTACAGTTACAAATATCGAGAGTGGCGAAAATAAAAATTAAATTAAATTTTTAATAAAAAGTAATAAAAAGTCACGGTGGAAAACCCGAATCGAAGTTTCGAAATAATACAAGTTAGGTCTATAAACGTAAGGCGGGGACATCGATGTTCCCTACGGAGCGGCCATTTTGGATCCGCAGTTCCGAGGTCCCGATACAAATTTCACGCTATCTACGCGCTGTAAACTGCCCGTTTCTTCGAGTTAAAGCCACGGAATTCCTTTCATAATATCAAATAGACTCTCTTTTCATTTAGAGGTTACTCCGGTATATAATTAAAGGCTTCAAATAGGTTTCAAAATAGAAAACTGTGTATAATAAAGTAAGAAGATAAATTTATTTAGTTTCGAATTGCAAAATTAGAGAAATTTGGAGATATTTGTTAAAATAAGAATATGTTCAGTTTTCTATATTCACCAGCATTTTTACATTACACAAACTACAAACGGGAGCTGAGAGCAAACGTTTTTATAAATTAAAATTAGATGAAGAGAAAAGAAAACCTATTCTCGCAAACTTTACATATTACGTAAAGTAAACCTTCAAAAGTTTTTGCGAGTTAATAATTTCCTTCATTTAGGAACTTTCTTACGCGTATAAACTAAACTTAATCATTTTTATAGAGAATTAAATGATTATATTTATCAAAATTTATTAAACAGTAGACAATGCCAACAGAAATATCAACTTCAACTTTATTTATTGTTTATTTTATAATAAAAAGTGATTATTATTTCAATTGCACATTACACATTACTCTCAATTAATATGAAATATTAATTTAAATGAGTGAAAATTTTAATTTCAATTACTATATTTTATTTTCAATTTTAAAGTGTGTTTCAGTCAACAAATAACAACATTTATTCTGTTTAATAAGTTACATAATATTGTTATACGCGTACAGCTTGTCAGAAAACTTTACCACAAACAGTCTATAAACTAGTATTGATCTGAGAAGCATGTTTTAATGTAATTTAAACAGATTTAATGATGAATACTGCAAACATTTTATAATAAGTGTTAAATAGTAAAGCAGTTTATATACTGGATTTTTGCTTTCATCTAACAACATAAAATATTTAAAAGAAATCTCTATTAGTAACCCGATACTGTACTTTTCCATTCTCATTAAAACTTCAGAAAATGCAACACGTTCACACCGAATGACAGTACAGGCAGCAAATAGCATTATTTGTATCAAAATATGAATTTATATAAAAGCAATAATAATTACAAAATATGCACTAAATTTCGGTCGAACTTTTCTTACTGAATACATTCGAGCAATCTCGTATGGCCGTTGTTCCCGATAAAGGAAAACATCGACTAGGAAAGGAAAATAATTTTCTGTAGTCTTCTAGGCGAGTAATCATTTATTATACGTAATCTTACAAATCTCACGTGGCATATAATAATTTAATTAATATAAATAAGATGTTTTTGAAAAATAAATGATTAGTGAATATTTGTTATGATAATATCGTATAATTTTTGCGATAAATATATTTTTTAAATCTGAAAAAGCAATGTTTAATATCCTAAAAACATTTGTTGAACCAAAGTTGCACTTATTTGGAGGTAATTCTCTTTCTCTCGGTGTTTTTCTTCTTAATTGCGGACGGGGTGGAAGATTTTGAACATCAAAACGGGTCTGAATTGCATTCCATTTCAATAATTTTCTTTCATCCGCTCTTTTAAGTTGAAATTGCGGCTGCTTTCAATGTTATGTAACTAAATTTTTAGATGCTAAAATGCATCTAAAAATTTAGTTACATTACATTACAAAAGTTATTTTAAACACTTGGTAAATTTATATTTTCATCATTATTTTATCCAGTAGCCTCACACAATCGAATTCTCAGTTGGTTTCCATTTATCTCTTCCGCAATATCGATATCATTTAGCTCTCCCGAATTTGTTGGCGGGAAAACGAAACAATCTTATATTTTCGGCTGTCGAATTTTTACAGTTCGGTGCCTAACTTCAAATCATTTTATACTATACTAGCTGTTACCCGCAACTTCGTCCGCGGAGGTTTTGCAAGTAAACCCCATTTACATTCAATATTTCAATAACCGTAGTAATTGTTATGTCTATATAACACCTACCGCTGAAGAGAATTGCCGAGAATCAAACGAACTATCTTCAATTTGATCAATTTTCTGGAACGTTTACAATCGTTCTATAATCGAACCAATATGCAATAACAAATTCGAATTTAAAACGGTTCGAACATTTTTAAAATCGAAATAGATAAAAATATTTATAACAATGTCTGAAATGTTATCAATTTAATACACCTAAGCACTCAATAAAGACTAAATGTAGTTGAAAAGAAAAAATCGTATCTAAAATAGTACAGTAGAAGCCGTTTTCCGGTTAAGCCTTAATGCTCTACCTCTCCCCCCGCGGGGGAATTTCGAAAAATCCTTTCTTAGTGTGCGTTTCCATGACGTACCCTAACTGTCTACCAAATTTCACCTCTCTAGGTTAAGCGGTTTGCTCTGGGCGATGATGAATCAGTCAGTGAGTGAATCAGTCAGTCAGGACAAGCAATTTTATATATTTAGATATATAAAACAAGAAATCCAACTAATCGAGATCGAAAGAAACAATTAGCTTCGCTCCAGAAACACCGTACACACAACCCGAAAAGGATCCAACGTGGCGACTGCCGCCACGCATCACGGTATCGTGTCTAGACCTTACGTTTATATACCTCGATTCTAGCGTAGAGGCGCCTCTGGTGGCAAACACGCGAAACTTACGCGAATGGCGAAAAATTCTAGTAAGTGGCAGCCACTGTAGTGGCAACCAACGAAAAGTATCCAGTCATTTTAGCGGTTTTAAAGATGGGATTTGGACAAATAGGAATCCGAATAATCTATTAGTTCATTACTTATTAACTGACGTCAAATGCGCGTAATATTAACGCCGGTAAACAAAAAAACACAAAAATTTAAATAAGTGGAAAATCGACTGCGCACGTTTACCGTACTCTTTCCGTTTTTGCCGTTTGTGGTTGTCGTCGAATTAACAATGGCGAAATCTGGTTAATGTTTAACGAACGGTCGAAAAGCGCAATTCTTTCTGGACACGTGGATTTACGCGTTAATACTACTGGAGTTTACGCGCACCAATTATTATAATTAAACTGGCTTTGGCCAAAGATGTCGCGACGTCAATCTTTCAAATCGGGCTCGCCCGTGGCTTAAAACCAGCGGATCGTAAACGTCATTTCCGTCGTTACAATACCGGGCTAAATTGACGGATCGGGATGCGACGGGGCTTCTCGTTCCCTACTATTAATTAATTACCGCTCGGCGAGCGCCTTTCGACTCTGGCTAAACCAACATAGAAAAGACGACGGAGATTTTGTCACAAAACATTACACTACGCATTAATTCGAGTACACGCGTAAACTGTAAACACGTTGGGTAGTAATTGTGTCATTCAGTTAGCTAACAACAACGGAGGAAAGAGAACCGCACGGACTTAAATTTGCTCATTGATTAATGATCATCCAGAAGAGTTAGATAACGGTTAAGAATTCTCTCTTTCCGCGATTTAAAACTAAAAATCGTCCCCCCACACAGTTTGAATTTGTTTAAAGACAGTCAAAATTCCTCTTTATGGTGAAATACAAAGGAAAGAAAACCGGCTAAATGTTGTAATCATTATTTTAGGTTAATATTCTATTTAAAAATATGATTAATACGCGAATTTATATTTTTCGAAAATTAAATTTTCTCGATATCGTTTCGTACTTAAACGATACAAAATCCACAATTGCTAATTGAAGGAGAAAATATTTAGTAAGTATCGAATAAAAGTAATGAAACAAAAGAAGAAAAGGATTAAAATAGAAGCAAGAGAGACTTACTTTGCTCTTCTTCAGATAAGTATCGCCTTCGTACACGTCTCTACTCAGACCGAAATCCGATATTTTGATGATTTTACCCGCAGCCAGCAGAATGTTTCGCGCCGCCAAATCACGATGCACCAGCTGCAAATTATTCCAAAATGAAGAAGGATGTCGTCACAACTCGCTCCGAAGGGAATAAGGAACCACTCACTTTCATGTCGCTCAAGTAAGCCATTCCTTTGGCGATTTGCCAACAAAACGACAACGAGTCTCGTTGAGTCACGTGATTGGGATGGGCCGGACTTCCTTCCACGCCGGCGGGGCCGTAACCCGAATCGTAACAGGGATTGGCGGGCGAAGAGGAGCCGTAGTCCACCCGACGACAGTATCTCAGGTAACTTCTCAACGATCCCAGTTCGGCGTATTCTACTATGACGTATAATGGCCCACCTGCGTCGTAAAGTTTATAACTCGGTTTAATGATTCTAAAAATGTGTTTCGAGCTATGGCGTATGCACGAAATTGGTTAGAGGAGAATCGCGTGCGAAAGGCGTTATGTGGAGAAATTTTCATAAGGTCACGCGATTTTTGTGTTTCGTACTTAACAATATTATCGTCAATTATAGTAAATCGGACGTGACACGGACGCTTCGTCTAGTTTCCCGTATTGCGCCGTTGAAAAGCGTGAATTTTTAATGTCTCGCCACACTCTAACGCGAGTAAAAGTGACTATTGTATGCCTACCCGCCTAATGAATTAACTAATATGATTATTGCATTAATCTTCTTAATGAACGACTTGGTGTTTCTAAAAAACATACATCGGTGGCACGACAGCGTGGATGGCGAGACTGAAAAAGTAATTGCTAGAGCATTGGTTATGGGAGTTGAATAAATTATAAAGAAACAAATATATTAATTAATAGGTCGCGGTTTCTGTACCGATGTGTGGTATTAAACCGCGGACGGAAGAATCGCGGGAGCGCGTGAAATAAGACATTTGAGATGAGTATGTGGCGTGACGAAGATATTCTGTTAGAACGCGCTGCGAAGGAGAATGTCAAACAAAAGGTAAACGATGCAAAAGATCCATTACGATTCTTTTAGAGACAGGATTGTCCGAAAGACCATAATGAATGAGTCTCGTCTTCTATCCATTTCTTTCCGAGAAAAGGTCCCAATATGTATGTACTGTACAGTACAGTACCGTACAGTACATGTACCACGTATGTTACATTCTAACAATTTGATAGCAAAGAATAATCCTAACATGGAATCGAGTTAAAATTTATACAAATATTTTATAGGTTTACTTTTAAATTACGTACAATTATAAAAAAATACCTTTTTCCGAATATTTCAGAATTTCTTTTCTATTCAATGGTAGAGTTTTTACATAAATGCATTCTGGCGCGATAGCGTCAACGACTGTTGTTCAATTCGGTTGACAAATGCGCAATTTCTTATCTTACTCGAAGATAGAGGAAATGTTTACCTTTCTGAGTGCAAGCTCCCAACAATCGAATAACATTGGGATGCACGATGTCTCGAAGCAGTTGGAATTCCGATAAAAGATCCTGATATTCGGCGGTCGAACTGTTTCCTGCAATAAGCAAAATAAAGAATTCGTAAGTGAAAGTCCTTAATTAACTCCCTTTCCTTTAAGTCTAAACATTCGAAAGTCGATGCGATCGATACATTCGCTTCCAAACAGATCAATCAATTTTCAATTTTTTACACACGAGTTACGTCATTCGAGAATCTTCGTAAAAATTACTTTTACTTTATAAAATTCTTAATTCGTTAGAAAACTTTGTAATCCTTTTATTCCAGCTTTGTTGTTTTTGTCTTTTCGAAGAGAATACGTTTGAACACACAGAGTGGCTAAAAAATCAGTTTACCATTCAAAACAACTTTCTCTTAACCAAGTTTACAAAAGTTATCGAAGACGAAACGTTCTAACGTATTGCCATGAGTTCTTCCACATTTACGGTTAATTAATTTTTGGGTCACTATAAATGACGACGAAGAGAGAAGAAGAAGAACTACTCGAGAAGGTCTCCTCACTTTGTCAAGCATCTTCGCTTTACTTTGCGTGACAACATAGAAAAAACAGTTAAATTCGTCTTAGAGTAATTAAATTACAAGAGAATGGCGAATGGCCTCTATTACGTCATTTAGGAGAAATAAGAAAATAAACGATTCGATACAAAAAAAAAAAAAATAACGGGAAAATTAACAATTTGTATCACCATCCAAATCGATTAGAAATAAGATACGAATGGAGTTCCCAGCGAAAATATTACAATACATTTACCACTAAAGGTAATTAGGCGGATAATTGACAATTAATTCTAATTACGTTTATAATTGGCAGTCGTTCGGAAGAGTGACGAGCCGAGTCTACTTTCGAGAGTCCATTAATCGTTACGTTACGACGACGGACGGTCGGGAGCCGGGAGGAAGACGATGAACAAAATTAGCATTTGTTTATTAGTAATTCGAGTGTTTCTTACATACGAGAACGAGGTTACGTCGAATTTGTGTAGGCCAAACACGAAAGATCTCTGCCGTAACAATGCGGAAGGCACGCGAAGAAAGGTAAAAATTACGCGAGAACGTTAAAAATGGTACAAGTAGCGTTACGTATTGTTACGATATTCAAAGTTAAGAGAAATCTACTCTGGAATTACATTTGCATAAATCGTAAGTGTTCTAATCCACTCGAAAGGGAAGAGAGGGAGAAACTCGTATTTATTTAGTAATTTTTGACGTCGAATCCGAAGCATTCTTGTTATAAAAAGAAATGGGAAGTTTTGATAAAAGAAAGGATAGAATAGTTTAATGTTTTTTGTGAGAAAGAATGGTAACCTCTCGTTTCCTTTGGGTAAAAGAGAAATAACGGTAGAAGTATTGTCCGTTCTTCTCCAGAAAGAATATAAAATTACGTGGCAATTCACTCTCTACAAAACGTTCTTCCTTTCTTACACAAAGAAACATTTATCTAAAAAGAAAATTAGATGTTCTCTATTCTAACAAAAATATATCGAAAGTTATAAACAAATTAATGTTTCGAATTTCTACTTCACGAATTTAACTATATTTTCTTTTATAGTATAGAAAATGTTTTGTTGACCTTTCCTATGCTTCGTCACAATTAAGGAAAACACAACAGAAACGTCTGGTTAAGCCTCCATTCTAAATCCTTTACTTCCAGCCATTCTTTGCAAAAAATTTAGCATAAAGACGGAGCAAAATATGGTCGACACACGTAAATCTAGAGTCATAAAACGATAAAAAGTCAGTGAAAGTTTCGCTATCCTCTTACAGACTAAGACACCAGAAGAATATCTAAAATGTAATTTACTAATTTCGAGTAAATAAATTATAAAGTGTGTTACGCCAGACCTTAGAATACGACCGGTTTTTTCCACATTATAAAAATTACTTTCAAAGAACGTAAAACGTCGAGATTAAACAATTCTTTAGAATGCAAAGGTCAAAATTTTACGGAAGTTGGCACTAAATAGACAATTACGGAAAAAATAATTGATAAATAAATAAACAGCTTAGCGCTGTAAGCAGTAAGTTAAAAAAAAAGACGTGATAAATTGAATATTTGTCGAACGATGGCGTCGAGTTACGTATTTACATTTTCGTAGTCACTTTTTAAACAACATTTGTAAGTAAAGAGAGTAACGCCTTCACTCTTTCTTATCTACTTGAGAGGGGATAGAATGACGTCGCTTTTTTAAATCTACATAATCGATGGGAAAATTGCTCCATTCAAGCATTTTCTCTCGAATGGCAGTCGTTAATGATTAACGGAATGAAGAATATGACAGAAATTCAAATAATTTCTGGCAAATAGAGTCGCGCCGACGATAAAATTATCAAATGAGTGTTTTTTTAAGTTAGTAATACGACTGTCTAGAAGTAAACTACTATTTCATTTACTTGTCCACTGCAGTTGTTGTGGAAGTTACGATAGAATTTCGACGTAACGGGTTTGAGGATCTGGTTCTCTACCATCTTTAACCAATGGATGAACGAACATTGAGGAAAATAAACAAATTCAAAAAAAGTTTTTGAACTTTTGGCAAATATGACAACAAATGGCAAATATAGTAGATATATTAATGTATTTACGCAGCAAACGTCGTAAAGGTATTTGCATAAATTAAAAAGTTACAGCATTTTAAACAAAGCACGAGTTGAATAAAAGGATGAAATCGTGAAAAACATTAAGAAAAGTTCCGAAGAAAATGGGGACCGTCAAAGAATCGTGGTCGGAGGTTGATCCGTGAGTATAAAAACTTATTTCTACAATGCTACAAAGAATTAAGACTGTAATTAGGACAAAAGGTGGCCCTATAAGATATTAATCGTCAGTATTGCATACTTTTGTTCGACTCTTACTTCGTTTAAAATGCTGTAACTTTGTAATTTAATCAAATACCTTTATGACGTTTGCTGTGTAAATACTTTAATATATCTATTATATTTGTCAATTGTTAAAAGTTTAATATTATTTTCGTGAGTTTGATTATTTCGGAATAAAAATAATTTTTTCACAGCAATTACAAAATATTAAGTACAGTACCTTTGCTCGGGAGGTTGCATCGCGTTTAAGGAAGACGATGAACCAGTTTCTACTCATAAAAAATTTATTTGACGCGCATAGACTAAATATGTAAAGTTCTTTCGCTATTTCGATTATATTTAAAAACAATTTGAAACTTTGCACACGAGTTGCGTGTCTCTTTCGTAACGAGAATGTACAGTACAGTACAGTGAATCTGGGAGGACGACTAACTTTTTGCTTTTGATAGAAATATCGGGTGGAGTTTATTTGTTTATGTGCTTTGGATGTAAATACAAAATTCTGGAAGGTATATCGAAAGTGACACGAATCAACAAAAAATTGAGCCCCGTTTGTGTAACAATGGACTTCCTTCTTGTATTCAAGCTAGGCATCTTACCCCGTCCGTCTGGGTAATGCCTAGCGGATTATGTTTCTCAACCTCTAACGAAGCGTCGCCCCCTTCAACGTACTACAAAATTCCGATGCCGAGGGACGAGTCTAACGCCAAATTCGTACTGCATCGAATAGACTAGTGACTGGTATAATGTTATTTGTTTAATCATTGTACGATATAACAAATAAAATATCTAATTATTCTTAATACGTATAATGTTTTACTATATCGCCCAGAAAATTGTTTTTCGCCCCTCCAAAATATAAATTGTTACTAATTGCCCCTCAATATGGAAAAACGCCCTGGTTGAGAAACACTGATTTAAACGAACGTGGCTGTTCGAGGTCAGTAATTGTCGACAACGAAAACTTTGTACCTCTGCTCCAAAGCTACAACATAAATGAACAGCTTTTCTTACTTTATAGCGCATTTAAGTATGCACAGCAGTTTTACTTTTTCTTTGAAATAATTACCGCGGAGAGAATGAGTGTTTTCCTGTTTTTTGCTTGTAGATATTAGAACGCCCTTTACACGATACTCGCTTTTGCTTTCCTGGCACACAACCGATCCAGAGACCCGCGCATCAGCGTGTGGCGGTCTACTTTGGCAAATTGCGAAACTATAGTTAAATTGGCGTCTTAAACGTATTTTAACTGTAACGTAGCGTCAGAGTTTCCTCTAAGTATGTTATTAGTGTTTGCTAACATAAGCTACGTCAGCGCAACGTTAACTTTTATACAGTTATTTGTCTGCAACGAGTTAATTATAAACCTACAATATGGGAGGACCTACCTTTCAGCATCTTGACTGCGACGGTCTTGTATTTCTGACTTCCGTCGATGCCCCAAGCGCGAGCGCGCATCACTTTGCCAAACTCTCCTTCTCCCAGAACTTCGCCGAATTTGAGATTTTCTCGGGGAAACTCCCACTTGGCATCGAACTGGAAGAAACCGTAGTTTAGTTTGGGGAGTGGCCTTAGTCCTCTACCCACCTCTACCTACCATTCCTTTGTTGCAGGAACCTTCGCCCACGGTCTGGAAGTCGACGACGGACGAGGACCGTTCTTCGCCCACCACTTCGGAGGGTTGCAACGAAATGGACATTCTACTGCCGAAGTACATCTGCTTCGTCTGCTGATTTTTGTACTTTCTGACCCGGTAGAGGCAGGCCACGACCGTCAAGCATATCAGACTGCACGAGACACCCAAAAATACGAAGGCCACGCATCCCTGTCCGCAGGCGGTGGTGCTGGTCAGCGTTACTCTGTCTAGAAAATGCAAATTTGTTTCCATTTGCCAAAGGTACGAATTGGGCGGAAGGTTCGAAACTCACCTCCGAAACGAATGAATTCCCGAGATTCTCTCAGACCGAATCTATTTTCGTTGGAAAAGTACATCCCTTCGGTGGCAGCTTCCGTTTTCGAGCTGTCGTTGTTAGACGCGCGGTGATTGGTGCAGGTGCATCGAAAGGGATCGGGGCAGGTGCACGGTCCCACGGCGATCAGGATGCCCTTTCCCGAATTCGAATTGAAAGTTCCTTCGCCGTTTATGATTTCTAAAAATAGAAACGAGGGTGACGATTACGTCACGACGAAAGTATGGAATGAGAGGGTCGACGTACTGGCGCAATCTTGAGGGCAGATCTTTCTGTCTAAGGTCTCCAACTCGTCGCAGTTTCCGTCGGGACAGCTCTTCAGATCTGGACTGCAGGTGGCGTAGCGGGAGGTGGGCACGGCGACGCGTCTGTTCTGCGATCGCCATTGGCATCGTCCGAAAATGGCGCCCCTGCCGCAACCGTCGGAGCATTCCTTCTTCTCCGCCAAGATGGAGCACGAAGAGGCGGCTGTAGGAAAGATAATCCAGTACATTGTATTGGAAGCGTCTTCCTGAAGGAAAGGAAAACGCAGCGTTTTAGATGGCAAACGAGAGTAGTGAGACAATTAAGAGTTCCGACCGATAACAATAAACGAATAGGCACTTGGCAAAAAAGATCAAAATCCCGCCAGACGACTGTAAGGACTTTGGATTTCGCCTAGTTTACGTAAATAAAAAATCTCTCTGTCTAATTCTCAGTCGTAGTCGCTAGGACGGTCTGGCGGTGTTTTCCCGCAATTTCGGCTTTTTAATACCTGGCACCAGTTTACACAAACCAAGAGATTACGTAATATTTTCATCGTTAGATGTTTTCTCGCGTAAAAATTCTCTCCGATTACGATTAATGCCGTCTAAAGTAAATTTACGGTGTCCGTGTAACTATCGAGCGCCATTACCGGCGCCTCTAAAAGTTTCCTTTGTAGTATTTTGTAATTCGAAACAACGTTAAAACCGTCTTACCGTCTCCTTCGATTCGTTACGAATTAGCTGTGAATTTTAGAAATAAGTGTGATTTATTTTGCTATTTCTTGGAGTGAAATGGCTAAGTCAATCGACTTTTTTAATAGAAATTTATAAAACGCCGAAAATTAACCACCAAGCTTTCCAGGAAAATTGTCACTAATATTCCCCTCTAAAATACGCTTAATTTAATTTATATATTTACTTTTATTTTCTTAAATGCTAATACAGTGTGGCTATGATAAGCGTTAATATAGTGTATACCAGGGATTAACAAAGCCTATGGCTTACCTTATTAATCTAGCATAAGTTTGCAGATTCCCGATCGGCAAACAATTTCATAAGATTTTTTACCGTGGTCAAATACAACAAAGTATTTAAGAGTAGATTTTGAACGTCGATCGAAGTCAAAAGCGTATAATAGATTACGCCAGACAGAAACCATTCCGGTGTCAAAAATGATATCGTCACACCGGACAAGTTAATTAATGTTTCCGATAATTTAATCTATCGATGTTTAAACATAAAACTCGATAATGTCGGGTGACGACGTCTGTCTCCAATCCGAAGAAAGTTTTAATTCGTCACTTCCGGTGTCACGTTTTTTTTATCTAAAAGATATAATTTATAAATCACTAAAGCGAGATTTACTAACTCGAAACCCGAAGGTCTGATTATTTTTGTTTGCAATTGTATCGTCCGCGACTTTCGACGGCTTACGTAACAACGTTGCGAGAGAGGAAGACACCGCGTAGTCGAATACGATACCGAGTACGAAGTTCGAATTGGCACGCTTGCAAATTTCGCCTAAGACCAATCGTAAAAAGGTTCTGGAAAGAAGAAAACATTTTTACCGTTGGTTTCTACAGATTTTGATCTTTTTTTTAACTCACTCGAGCAATTCGTATTCATTATTGTGTTCGTCCGATCCACGTTTCATTATCTCACTACTCACAAATTTCATTATTTAAAATGTCCTCGTCCATTCGATTTGGTTTATTTTTGTTCAAAATTATTTTAAAATTAACGTTTTCCCTTCAAATATTAATTCTAATTATTATTCAGAATATTAAATAAATTTACTAAAGTATTCAAAATTTAATAATAATGAGCCTAAATCTACCGTGTAATACTTTATTATACTAAACAAAATAAAATTTTCCATAAAATACTTAAAATAATAAATAAGTCACTTAAGGTTTCAATTTACTCTTAAATACGAAATAAATTAATTTAAATTGAAAATTATATGCTTATGGATTAGGTTATTGTCCTTATTTCATCAGGAAAACTTCTTTCGGAAAAGATTTACACTTAGAAACACCCGAACCGCTGGCATTCATTTTCTCAAATAATTAGCCGATTAAGTGGAAAATCTGGCATTATGTTTGACAAATTCGTCGTTGTTTGCAAATAACTTTTACCGTCGGTTCCCACGTAAAGTAATTATTAACCAGTTACGTGTAAATTACTTTAATTAGAATTAAATATAAACGCACTTTTCCAGATAAATTATTCGGTAATTTCAACCTTTAACCAACCCGAAAAAGTCGAAATTATCTAAAGACCCCCGTTGTCTTTGACAAATGACAAGCGATCGGCCTCGTAAAGTTCAAGTGTAATGCGCGAGAAAACAAGAGACGAGATTCTAAATATGATCCGTAGGTATGGTATTTATATACTTTCCTTTTGTTAAGTTCGTATTAATAGAATAACGTGTTCTAAAAATTGTCAAGAAGGAAAAAGATACGTCTTTCGTCTTAATTTTCGTGCGGTTTCTATAGAAACAAATACCCGCCGGTAGCCAATAGTGTCTCGAGGAATTCTAATTATAAGAAATTAAATAAGTAAAAAATTTAAAATCGATCCGTCTACGCGCGCCAATGAAAAAGTGTTTTGTCGTCCGAAAATAGTTATTCCCAGTATCGAATTTGAAAATTCGAAACCGGATTTCCTTTTACGGCCCGTAGACTTCCGGATAATTCGCCCCTCGGCAAAGAATTGCGGGAGAAAGACCCGGATAAGGACTTTCTTTGGCCGAATCGATAGAAATTCTGTATTTTCGGATTCGTGCCGCCGGCGACGAAAAAGAGGTGGATAAGTCTTATAGAAAAATATATATAAACAAATTTTGAGGTGAATTATGCAACGATAGTTTTTATTTTAGTTTCGAATATTATATTACGAATGTGTACCGACGAATAATACGTAATAAGTATGGATGACGTCTGCATTAACAAACACCCGACGGAGAGTCGTATTACATACAGACGCATCGTCTCGGTTCTATTCGGAAGCGTATGATTAGTGGAGGATAAATTTCACATCCGAGTTAAAGATAAAACGAAAGTTGTGTTGTTTAATAATAATTTATATAAGCCCTATATTTAAATTACCGAATATTCTTCAATAAAAATACGAGAAAAAGAATAGAGTAAACCCAATTATAATTAACTGCATCTGGATAAAGAAAACGCAAATAATTGATTCCCTACGATGTAGCTAGAGAAAAGATTATCTCCGGGAGAAGAAAACGTAAATTGGTCACGTGTTTGGAGAGAGCCGAGAGAAGCAAACGACGAGATTCCTAAGTGTTTATCGGAACGTTCGCCACGCTTAATTAAAAACTAAGACGTTTAATTAACGTAGAAAACTTCAAAGCCGGTGTCGTACGGATGCGGATGGAGAAAATTTACAAGAGCGAAACAATAAGAAGTTTGAGAACAATCGAAACGAATGGACGAGTGGAAAGAAAAGTAGGAATTTGCTAGAAAGTACTGTACTTCGTGACAACTGTGAAATTAAATTTAAACTAATAAATGTCGGAGAAAGCTTATTTTGTCAAACAAAAGGTAAATTAATAGCTTCGGATTAAATAAACGTCGATATTTTCGAATGGAAACGACGAAAACCACGCATTTCTCCAATAATTTCGGGACGAAATTCGTGGAAACTTTATCGAACCGACGTAAACCTTACTTCCGATTTGTATAAAACAATATCTACGGCCTAAATTAAGTGACCAATCTATCTCCGGACGCGACAATCGTCCTAAACACGTTCGTCAAATGTTAGGTAAATCGAAGGGGATTAAACGTCGTTAGTTTCGTCCATCGCGCCGAAAATCATTTGATTTCAATTTTTAAAATGATGTCCCGTCATACGTAACGCGAAGGAAACCGAAAACAGTCAATGACTCGACTTAAAGTTAGAATTTCGTTAAAACACGTAGTTCGAGAAATCCTCGGAAAGCGGACCGTAATATTTTATAAACCTCTTTTATTCGTCGAGTTTCGACTTTGGGGTGGAGGACTGTAGGATTGGAGACATCCCTTAAGGGATGAAAATGCATCGTCGTAAGACTTGGTACGGTACAATACAATGAATCCCGAACGTTTCGGCCTTCCGTCTGAATTACAAGCGGATGAAATTTGAGTCGAAACATTTCGTGACTCCGTACAATTACTATTTAAATAGTTTCTTACAATTACTATTTAAATAATTAATATATAAATAAACACGTTTATTAATAATAACGATAGATAGAATTCGTATAGAATAGAGTCGTATCGACCGAACTGTCAAGAAAGAAAGAATTGGAGATTCCATTTGATTAACGAAAGATTTTAATGACTTTTGCAAAAGTATGCAAACTCGTTTATGATATCCACTGCAGTTTACCCGCGAACCGCTTCAAAAAGGGGTAACGACGTATTAAAGGCGGCTTTTATTAAACTATATAATTTCTAATTGCGTAAAATGTTCTTTCGTTTTTTTCGTTATAAGTAATCACTTTTTCGTTAACTGTTCTTTTAATTCAAACTTCACCTTTCGACTTTTTCTATTTTTAACAAAAAATTGATAATTGAAAGCAAAACTTACCGCACATTCTGGAGTTCTGCGCTGAAGAAGGAAGATCGTTTTACCATTATTGTTACTTTGGTAAACGCTAGATATAAAGGTCGAAGGTAGAATTGGGCTCACCATTGTCCGTGACGTTCACCACGATTAGGCATTCTCCCCCTTGCGCAATTGACGAACTCCACCGGAGGACGGCGTGAAGACTCCTCTTTCGAGTGATCGACAGGGTCTTTCTGTTGGACACGTACACGATGCCCGTCTTGGGAGTCACGCTCAAAATACTCTCGGACGAATTCCTCATTTCTAGATCGAACCTAAACTCCTCCTTTTCTAAAACCTGAATGGGCTGAAAGACCTGCCGGGCGAGTGCAACGTTTATAAATTCTAAACAATTTCAAACTCCGAAAACCTTTGTAAAATTTCATACTCTGGAATGCAAAGCGGCGTGACGACTTATAGAAGCGGAGTAGACTTTTTTAGGCTGGATTTTCTCTCCGAGATTTGCCGTTCGATTCCTGACGTGGACGTGGAACACAACCTGAAAGCATCCAAACGACACTCTTATCCGACGGATTTCGGCGGTTAAATACCAAAAAACTCGAAGAATTTTTTAGAATGTCACCTTATTATCGGTTCCGTTGGGTAATCCGGTATCTTCGAAGACGACGGTAAAATTGTACCAACCGCCGGGGAACCAGAAATCCGATTCTCTGGCGGCCACTTCTAAAATTGCATTTTGAAAATTCAAAAATTTGCTGGAAGAATGGGAAAAGGAAGAGGATGGAAAAGTTGGTAACTGTTTACCCGCGTGAAACAGAGAACCGTTGTAAACGTCTTCGAAGAATCCCGTGTCTTGTACCGCGAACAGGTGCAAAATGTCATTTTCTACTCGAACTTGAATGTCGTTGGCCAATGCCGAATCGTCGTCCAACACGCTAAATTGAATGGGTAGAGGTCGACCCTGTCCACAAAGTTTATTCTTGAAATTACTACCAAATTCTAGAAGAAACTAATATTAAAATTTAAAAAGTTGTATCGTGTTATTAATACTATAAGAACCTGCTACAATCGGATCCGATCCATTAGGGATTAGCCTGTTTAGTAGAGACCGTATTATCTGTGATAAATTCGGATTCGAACCCTGATCCTTACGGCGAAAGGTTGACCATCTGTAGTCTTCGAGAACGGAAAAAATTTAATGATGGGAGGATGAAGAGATTTAACCTTCATCCTCCCATTTCCCGAGACCTTTATCCTTTTATGGCCGGATTCTACAAATGTTTGTTACAAATGGAGAAGATATAATCGAATTTTAAGAAATAATCACGTGTAAGTTTAGAATTATTGGCGAATGGCTGCAAAGGGTCTTTTATGAGACATTAGAGACGAAAGAAATGGTTTGTTTTCAATTTACGAGTATTTTCGAATTGGGAATAGTCGATAATTGCATTAAATTTGGGAAACGAGTAGGGAGGGAAGGTCTACTAACTCGTGATTAGTCGCTAGCGGCCTTATATAAAAATTAAAGGCTTTTCGGAACGGTGGAAGTTTGCGTGACCGCGACAAAAAGGTTCCGGTTAATGGCTATTTCGTCAGGAATGTAATTCCGTGACAGTTAAGTCGTCTATCCTTCCGGAAAATCAATTAATCCCACAAAGAAATATTAGAAATTATAATAAAAACCGGAACTCGTGCGGATCTGATCCGGAAAGACGGGACAGATCTTTCTCCACTAGCTCAGTTAATAAAATTTAATTTAATTATATAATGTCCGAGCGTAAATCATTCTTTAAACATACTTAAAAACACAAAAACGAATTGCACCTTCGTATAAAAGTAGCAAAAGAATATCCGCGACTTGGATGGATTCCAACGAAGTTCCCGAGTTTAAAATGATTCGTTTAAAACGATTTTCTTAGAAGACGGACAAAGGAAGGGTAAAATATGTTTATCTATAAATTATACCAAGTTTTTGTGTGATTTTCCAACCAGTTCTTGTCACGAAAAGTAGTATTAAGAAGTCAAACGCTCCTTTTACAACTCCTTTTGTTCCAAAAATAGAATAGATGGACCATTTTATTACGACTCGGACGGTTGGAGAGGATCCAAAAGTAGGAAAAGGAGCGACTCGCGCGTGACTCGACCGCCCACTCACCGGATATATATTAGTGATGTTGACGTAGAAAACGGATTCGGACCCGACTTGTAAGTAGGGAGGATTGTCGTCTACGTCTTCCACCTGCAATTCGCCCCTCAGAACGAACTGCCCTTCTCTGGTGTCGGAATGATAAACGGAGCATCGAACCACGAACGATCTTTCTTCCTTCTTCTCTGCGTCGGGAGATTTTTTTAATACTAAATGACCCGAATTGGGGTGGACCTTTACAAAGTCGTTGTCTGAAAAGAAAAATTCCCCCTTTAGAAGACATTCCTCTTCGTGTTGTTATGAAAATTTTCATATTAACTCGCACCCCAATTAACGATGTTTGAGTAACGCCTAAATTTTTAGCAAAATTTGTTTTATATAAATACAAATTTATAAAATTCGTACAGAATATTTGCAAGAAAATTTATTTAAAAAGAAAAACGATCGAAGAATTATCTTCCAAGTCTTTTCTATTATATAAAAATAAAAAAAAAATTATGTAAATCTGAAATTCTTATATTTCATTTCATATGAGATAAAATAATAAAATTTCTACAAAATTTCTACAAAATTATCCTTCCTTAACTTGATATATATTAATATAGCCTATTACCCGTTATTTTTATATGTATGAAAATATCGTGAAAATTTGTGGCCCCGTCCCCAAAATTCGACTTTATGACTAACGTAATCTTGTCGATTTATTAGCTAATTAAATTTTAAATAAAATGATTATTTAATTATGTATATGTAACCGGTTTAAATCTTTTCCAACCTCCCTCCGGTTCTAGCCGTACTAGATTCCATATCAATCTGTTTATGTATTGCAGAAAAGCCCAATCTTTCCCTTAATGCCAACACCGTTGTGGAGTTAGGGCGCGTATAATCTAATAGCCTTCGAATATTACGATTGTATGAGAATATCAATAATTGTGTTACATACATAATTATATGTAACCCGTATGTACAGTACGATATAGTCCCCACTTTACTACTTAAATATATAGGTGTTCGGTTTAGAGCAGTGTAGTTACCGTACAAATGTTCCTCTAACAATAGAGGAGGGGAAGAAAATACCTTACGGACTGTAAAATACGTTACCTTCGATGGTATAGGTGACTCGCGAATGGGAGCAGAGGTTAGAAGTAGCCAACGGTCGAAGGCTGTCCATCAGCAGACGCGCTCCTATCGATTCTTTGACGTAATACGTGACGTAGGACGAAGGGAAACACAGAGAAGACGACGGACGGCAAAACGAAAGGTTATCCACACCCGTATCGATGCTCACCGTTGTAGATTCTCTTCCCGAATCGTCCGCCCACACCTCCAACACGTACGTGCGACTATGGAAATCTATGGAGAAAATTCTATCCATAATTAAAAATATATTATTTATTTAATTTACTTTCTAATACTGTATATAACTTTTTTCTTGTTTACGCAAAGAAACATTGGAGAGAATTAATGGAAAAAAACTAATCATCCGGGAGTGGTCCGGAGAGAAACATCCTCATTATCTGGGGATTATGTTTATAATTCCGAGATTTATTGAAATAATTAACTTATAATGGTTAATTATTGCATTTTGCGTTGATTTAAAAGAATTATCTCTCTTTCCCTCGACATTTCTATTCTGCAAAAGCAAGAAAGGAAATCGCGTTAAATAATTTGACCTTTATCAATTACGTTCGTATACTTTTGATAAATAGCTTCACAAAATGGCAGTTATAACTCTATAAATATTGTAGGATACAAACCGGATTCATTCAAGAGACGATCCAGGGGCGTTCGCAGCCAAATGATTCCGGAATTTTTTTCTATTCCGAATATATTGGATTCTTGTTGCTTGTTTTGGCATCTGGAATGGCAAGTCACGTGACGGAGTCGATAGAGGGGAGATCTTTCGTCTGAATCTTCGGCCACCGCCACCACTTTCCAAATGGGTACGTCGATCGGAAAATCCGAGGGTATCGATAAGTGCACGCTTCTTCTCGGGAAACTAAACGCTAAAAAGTAAATTAAAAATATATTTTCTTTTCGTTTCGGAGCTTCTTAAACAAAAATTAGAAATAATTTTAATAAATTGAATGATTCGGCCAGACGATTAATGGAAAATTCGACGTTTTTGCTAACTGCTTTTCCCGTCACAAACGTCGTCGAAGCGTAAACACTCGGTAAAATATAAGTTTAGGCAGCTCAAAACCCAATTAATAAAATAAAAGATTTAGTAGTATTTACCATTACGAAAAATAAAAATTGGCTCAATTCTTTGGGACAAAAGCCAAAAGAATTCGATACTTAATTGAAGTAAACACGAGCCTCGATCAGGTGTCGACCGGAGCATTTCCGAGAAGTGCATTAAAACCGACACGTGTCAGTTCTTAATGGAATCTTCGAATAAAAATCTATTTTTATACGGATTTACAAAGACGACCGACACCGATTCTCTATCCCATAACAGTTTTAGATAAAGCTTAAATTAGTATAAAATAAATAATAGATGACGAGAAGATACAAGCGAGAAAACGGGGTCGTTTGTAAACCGAGCCGATAATTAGAAAGAAAAAAGTAACTTAAATATTAGCAGAAAATATTCATAAAATTTCATAAATCTTCAAGCAGGTATTACGTAAAAGAAATTAATTTCATCGTGAACAAAAAATACTCTGATCCAGGTGATTTGATATACGTTAAGAGATGATTCCTTATACATTTATTTGTATATTGTTTGTTATAAATCTTTTCCACGCAGACACTCTTTCGAGCTTTCGTCTTTATATTCCACCGACTGATCGCGTGGTTGGGATTTGATTCCAACACCGTGTCAACACGAATAACGCAAGAAATTCGAAATACAAACTGAATTAATTAATGCGTAATCTTTTCGTATTCGTCGAAGAGTTTCTTAAATTGGACTCGGTCGAACTTAAAATACAATTCTATTTTAACGATTCTACGTTGTATCGAAGCGTATAAACGATTTGTCAGCGCAATACGTCGATGCTCGTAAGTAATCTCCTGTACTTGTCATAAAAGAATTAAATTGAAAGATAAATATTGAAGAACTTTAATTTATATAAATCGAAACACTAACGGACTTCCGTTATCGTCGTATTTAAATTGTTACTTTTACTACAATACTTTTTCTCTTATTCGTCCTGAAAAATAATTCGTATCTATTAAGTAAAATAAAGATTAATTTTCGACACGTGGAAGGAAATTTGTAGCATTTAAAATGAGATTTTCTATATTTATGCGCATTATTATTTTATAATCTCAGACTTGTATGTTTTTCTTCTTCTCGCACCTGTCATTCTCCCGGATCGAATGTCTTCGTCTTCTCCACCCACATTCCTATTTTCTCCCTTTTTCTTCTATTTCTTATCCATGTAGGCTACAGTACGAAATGTCTTCTATTTTTCACATATATCTAATTGTATTCTGTATTTATTAGCAAATTGTTTTTAAGTTAAACTTACAGAATTCCAGATTAGAGTTGGAGAATTGACTAGAAATTGCTAAGACGGAAAAAAGAATTACATTTTAACAAAATATACCTGACCTATTTTGTTCTTTAGTTAAATGTGCGTTTTTATTTGTGTACGAACATAAAAGTAAATCAATTGTTAATTTATATTTTAATGTTGTAAATATTAAAATCCGAACCACCTTAAGTTCGGCTTGGCCGCGAGTATGGCCGGCTATGCGGGTTGCCTCCGATCCACCGTTTAAGCGATGCTTTCGAATTATCGGGATTATTTACGAATCTAAAATAAATTTGCTTTGTTAGAAAGAATCGTGTGCATCTAAACTTTCCTCTTCGTACATTCTTAGTTAAATGCAAACATTTGTTAAAAGAATTAAGCCATATTTTTTGAAAACCAGTCTCTAATTCCAAAACTTTTTTCTCCTTTATTACGCGAAAATGTTTTAAATTTCCAAATAAAAGTGCTATTCTTGCGATTCGAAATACAGAATACGAATTGTCTGAAATCCATGCAAATGAAGAGTAAATAACATTTTCTTACCTAGTCTAAAGAGTAGAATTAGAATAAGGAAACTAGCTTATTATAGTGAATTTTCACAGACAATCTAATTAAAAATATATATTTTTCCGAATGTATTTCTTCGATATTTTATTTTTTTTATTTCTGCCACTGGCAAAAAATTCCAAACTAACGACTTATCCGGAAAATAATGTCAACGAACGGAAGAAAATGTTTTTATCCCTCCGAATTTTATCAAGGTAATCCGATTATTACTAAGAAATGCTCCTAGACAGATATAACAGAAATTTCTCAAATATAAATAGAGTTATATCGGTTAGTTCGGCCGCCATTCGCGACGTCCTAATTCAATTGTATGGTAACGACTAATTCTTTATCTTTGATCGAGTAACTCTACTTAAATAAACTACCGTTAAAAATAAAAAATTAACGCGTAAATTAAGTATTCGACCGAAGAAAGAACCGAGGAACGGATGAAAATACACACGTATATATAGGTTAAATCCTCGCATCTGGAACTTGCGCGGATGTAGAGAATATACGTAAGTAGGACACGCGCTACTTTTTATATTTTAAAAATTAATTGGACAAAATAGAAAAGAAAACGTGTCCCACTTACATTCTTTATTCTTAAAATAATCGCGTATATTAATCGCGAAAGACGTCGGCTCGGTTCTTTTCGTATTCTTTATAAGAAGCGGAAAAATATATGTTTTTATGTATATTTTATATACAAATTTCAAATGATATTTTTAGTAAATAAATTCCGCTTTTGCGGAAAAGTGATTTTTCTTTTTTGTTTCTATCAATTACAACATAATTGTCCGTACAATTAGTCTATAATTACAACGCAAACGTATGTCAGACCATCGTCTTTAATTCTATAAAAAGTGAGGAAATTATATTATTTTATTCATTGATATTGGTGGAAGTCGAGCCAGTGTTTACTCTGTCTCCTATAAAAGCGCATAAAGTGACGTTTTGACATTTTAATTCGATAGTCGAAAATAATTATAGAACGGTTCTATCAGCACTTTTTATTTTCTTCTAAAGAAAGTCGTCCGTAAATTTTCAGACTTCCGAATTTGTGATTTGTCAACGGAAACGATGAAAGTAAACGCCAGAATGTCAATATATTTGTTATTTTTAGCGAAATAAAGGAAGATGAGCGCGAAACTTCTGACAGAAGACGAGTCGATTGCTTAAATAACAAGAACCTTCTCAATTGCTCGCCAGCCAAAATTTAAGAGAATTTTTCCAAATTATATTATATTTTGCGGTAAAATTATTTACTAATTTTAACAAATTACTATATATAAACATGTTTCGTTCTTTCAATTAACGCAATAATTATTGTTTTAATTGAAAGACCGATATGCGATTTATTGGATTTTTTTAACTAATGATCAAACGGGAAACGGAGACAAATCTTGCCATAGAAATTACAGTGTTGGCAGCCGAATATTTCAACTTTTAATCAACCAATAAGAAAATTACTTCCAAACTTACAGAGTCACGTCGACGAATTGGCAATGGCGTTACTTCGACGTCAAAATACGAACTTCTTCATTATTTTTATTTTACATTCTCACGGAAAGTTTTATGATAAATTTTTATGTAAAAATTTAATAAATTTCTGAAATTAAAATGATGTAAAAAAGTTATTTTTTTATAGGAAAGTGCGCGAGAACGCATTATCCCCCACACAAGTTTTTGACCGATTTATCCCTGTAGTAATTTGTTCTCTGGATTTTGTATGGTTTTGTTGCTATAGAAACGCCACAGGATATGACAGTAACCACTACAATCTACTCAAATTGGAACATTTCCGTTCAAAATTTCTAGCTTACTTTCAGAAATTGCTAATTCTATGTAATTCGCTTCTACCGAAACTTCTAAGTTTCGGTAGAAGTGAATCTTTGCTACGAATCTATTATAAAAACTCGCTTAAAAAGATACTTTCTGAAAAGACTTATTGATATTTTTCAGCCCACTCGGAAACATGGCTTTAATTATTACTTATAAATAAAGTAACACTGTGCGGATAACTTATATATGTGCTGTTCTCTCTTCGTTGCGCACTCGTTACCTCCTCGTACCAAGGTTTAATGTTGTTTTTGAATACAGAAGATCGCTACGGCTTCCCTGAAATCCGATACAAATATCTCAATTTTCCTTTACTCGAGAGAATAAGGCGAATTTTGACGGATCGTGGCGGTTTTTATCTCTTAAATCTATCACTTTTCTATACAACAGATACGATAGTAAAGTTTCTGGTTACGTATACACCCGACATTCGTGTTTATGGATTCCCATTTTCCACTCGTCTTCACACGTTGTATCAATTTTTTTTTTTTTGGATAAGATGAAACTTGTTTATAGTAAACAGGGATTCACTCAATTATAAAAACATTGCTTTTAAGTTATAAAAAAAACTTTCGCTTCTTTCCTATTCTTTTATTCATTAAAGCGCATCGAAGTAGAAGAAAGAGATGAAAACTTTAGATAATAACATCCTTCGATATTTTATCATTAACTTGAAGATAAAGCTGGATTTTAGGAGCAATAAATCAAAGTAAGAACGTAAATCCTCATTTAGAAATCCGAAAGAAAGATGTTTTATCGCTTTGTTTATTTCTAAATAATTCGCGAGCGAAACGAGAAACTCTACGTTGTGTGTTATTTATATGTTTTGTGACGAAAGCGAGGAATTTCCAAACACAAAGCGTTAAGAAATACGTCTAAAGACTCGAGCAAACACCAGAAACAGAGAATACCAGTGTCCGGTATTTTCACTTTATAAGTGAAATTCGACACTAGCATTCTCTGTCTCTCGTCAACTCTGGTAATTGCGGCAAAAATTAATGTAATATAAGCAGAATTTCTCATTTAATACGCGGTTTCCAACTTATTTAGGAAGAAATTTTACAAAAATACTTTGTCGCTTTAGCGATTAAACTGTTGTAAACGGAGATAAATGGAGCGCGAAATGCCGATCG